TCATAGTTTAGACGTAATTAAACTCCCTGTTAGCAAATAAAATTGTTAACTTAACGACGAACAGTTTAAGGTTAACAGTGGTTGTTCAGATGAAGTTTTCTATCTTGATTTATCTCAACAATTTAATGCAGAACTTCCGCCATGGACTGACCTCACATTAAATTCAGGAATTGGATTTAAAAGTTGTTGGGCAGCTGCTGCATTTACTAATAATGATAATTATTCGACTATTTACCTAATTGCTGGAATAATGCGAGATCAAAATCAAGTAGATGCTTTTACTTCTCTAGTATATGCATTTAATTTGAGATCAGGACAATGGAATATACCAGTAATGAAAGGAAAAATTCCAGATAGACGTAGGGAATTTCAAGCTGTTGCTGATGATTTTGGAAATATTTATGTTTTTGGCGGAGGTGCCGATCATTATATAGGATCAACAAATGTTCAATTTCTTAATGATATGGCAATATTAAATACTAGTGATTTAATATGGTCTTATGGTCCCATTATTAATGCCCCTTTACCACGAGTTGGTTATACTGCGACAAAATTATCAAATGGTGTTATTGTGTATATTGGAGGCCGTGAGCGTATCAATGGTAATAGTGCAAATATTGTAGATATTACTCAACTTTACCTTTATGATACCAAGTTATCATCTTGGTCAGTAGTGGTACGTATTTTATTTATTATGAACTCATTTGTGAAACTTAATTTTAATTTATTTTATTTATTAAGCAAGCGAAAAGCAACGGTCAAATAGAGTCTCGATTTATACACTCAGCTGTGCTAGGTATAATTTTTTTTTACAAAAGAATTGTTGCTTTAAAATATAGTGATTAATATATTACTATTTTTTTTTATTAGTGTCGGATGGAAAAATCATTATTTATGGAGGTGAAAAAGATCTTAATAATTTGGAAGTTGCTAAAGTTCTTCCAGATTTGGCAGTTTTAAATACTTCAAAATTTCCATTTGAATGGACTATCCCTCAAGTATCATCAAAAATTGGTGAAGTTCCATTGCTTGCTGGTCATACAGCACATTTATTTGGATATTACATGATTGTTGCTTTTGGTAATTATTTATATAATATTTTTAATTTTGTATTTTAGTTTATTACATTTTAATATTAACAATATTTGATAATAGGAAATTTGACTCAACCAAACGCAGGAGATAGTTCAAGAATTTATTTGTTAGATATTAGAAGCTATACTTGGGTTGATAAATTTGAACTTGAGTCTTCACCTATAAATGATGCGCTATCAAACTCTTCTTCAATTACTACAACTTCAATAAATCCTACACCTTCTGCAGAAACTACAAATATTTCAGAAAATCAAATAAGTAAAGAAGCGAAAATTATAATAGGTACTATAAGTGCAACTTTCAGCGTTATCATGTTTTTAGTAATTGGAATTTTTAGTTTTAAATGGTGTTAGTGATAGTCTAGTTATGACGCATTAGTACTGCGCCAATTACAATTAGCGAATGATGATCCCGTCGATCAT